TGGTCCAAAGAATGCCTTTATTAACTCAAAACATGATGAAAGACTGGATTTGTTTTTTAATCCTACAGCATAGACTTGCTTTCATTTTATTTCAGATCATCTTTTGAGTCAGCTTTTCTCCATACATAATTTTCATAGTGATTTTTTTAATGTAAATGGATTTTTTTATTATAGATACTACTTTTAAAAGAAAAGATAATAAAGCTATACTCAAATACATAAAATAAAAATGAACCTGCTTATATAAATGGTTAAGTTCAAGAAGGATGGAGACAGCATCTGAGCTCCTCTGACTTTACAAGTGGAACGGGAATCATCAATTGATCTCTGTGACTGAGGTCAGACATTCTTTTTTTTTAAATCATTTTATTGGGGGCTCATACAACTCATCACAATCCATACATACATACATTATATGTCAAGCACATTTGTACATTTGTTGTACTCATCATTCACAAAACATTTGCTTTCTACTTGAGCCCTTGGTATCCCCTCATTTTTCCACTTCCCTTCTCACTTCCCCCTCCCTCATGAAACCTTGATACTTTATAAATTATTGTTATTCTGTCATGTCTTATACTGTCCGGTGGTCAGACATTCTTCTACCCTTCTTTACCAACTCTGACACTGTCCATCCTTCCTTCCCATAGCATTCTGTATATCTCTGCTGGGTTTGGTAATTCATGTTGGTAATTCGCTGCTGGGTTTGACTATGGCAGAACTCACAAGTCAGCATCAAAATTAAAGTTCAGGATCAGAAATGCTCAAGTTACAGTTCTTTTTAGGAACATGCTATTCCTAGCCATGCCCATTGGCAAGCCTCTCTCTGGTCCTTGGTTTCTCAGAGCTCTTTTAATGGCCAAAGGACACACCACTCTGCCATAAGCTTCAGCCTGAAAGGGCTAAGCTCTAGCTTTGTGTACCAGCAGATACATCTTCCCAATATCCGTATATACCTGAGTGTAAGCCAACCTGAATATCAGCTGAGGCACCTAATTTTACCACAAAAACTGCATTAAAAAATGTGCTGGAAAAACTCGGCTTATACACAAGTATATACGGTAAGTGCCTGAAAATATCTCATTCTGTAAGCAAGTCTCCTCTTGCCTGAAGGGACTTAGCTTTCCTTATTCCAGTGGTTCTCAACCTGTGGGTCATGACTCCTTTGGGGGTGGAACAACCCTTTCTCAGGGGTCACCCAATTCATAACAGTAGCAAAATTACAGTTATGAAAAAAGTAATTTCATGGTTGGGGGTCACCACAACATGAGGGACGTATTCAAGGGTCGCAGCATGAGCAAGGTTTAGAACACTGCCTTCTTCAGCGAGGCCAGAAGCCTACCATTTGGTTTCCTGCCCAGGCTTGTTGCTCTGCTGCTGCTGTTACTCCTTGCCACTGCTTCATTGATTCTCTGCTGTCACCGCTTTCTGTCTCCAGGTGTGAGGAGGCTCAGTGTGCAAGGCTCTCAGGTCCCAAGGACACATCCTCTCTTCTTTCTTGATGCTAGTGAGATTCCAGCAGGGTGACAAAATTGGCCGATCCTAGCATGAATTCCGAGTTTGTATGATCACGATAAACCCCATTAACAACTCACAATTAACTTGTTTAAGCCTGCCAGTATCTTCCCCCACTTTCTCTTACGCAGATTTATCAACTAAATGTCATTCTGTTGGAGTTACAAAGACTGGTTAGAAGAGCCACATCAGGAAATGTGCTGCATTCCACCAAGCTTTACATTAACGCTGTAGTAATTAAAGCAATCACCGCCCTCTTGTCCATTTTTCATACTGCAGTGGTTTGCTGTGGTGCTGCTAGCTACAC